TCAACTTCCCTGTATGGTGGAGGGCCCTCTGGGAGGAAATGAGAGAGAAGAACAATAGCCACCCAGGATGAGCTTCCAGACAGGTTAAGCGCAACTAGCCCATTACAGAGGCGGCAACGAAATGCGTCTCTGAGTCAGAAGTTTAGTTTAAAGCTGCAAATGTCAGAATAGTTCAGTCCTGTAAACGCAAAGAAACTCCTGGAAATGTATTGTCCTACTATTTCATTCTGCAACTGACAGATTTTATAGACTATGTGATGTTGCTCAGAAGTAGTGGCGCTGAGATTTCCTGCATTCCAGCTGCCAGAGTCCACGTCAGCCGCTCCACTGAGGAGTGCTGTGTGATCTGGAACGGAGGCTCAAGGCACTGCAGGAGGTTCTGGGGAATGTTTGAAGGTGCACCAGCTAGGTTTGCTTGGCCTCACCACTAACCTGCAAGAACTGAGAGCAATGCTAACCATCACGCAGCGGAGGGCAACAACGAACACATTAAGTGAAAGCAGCAGTCTAAGAGGAGCAGAAGCCCTAAAAGACTTGTCACAACACCACACTGGCTGGGTTCGCACATAATGCTGACTCTCAGTATGGGCTTTCGAATTCCAGGACATTCCTCTGGGTTGCAAACTGCGGGTTGTTGTTCTGTGCAAACCCAGAATCTTGGGCTGTTCATGGGCGCCTTTGCCAGGCTATTTCTCTAGCCTAGCCCCCTGCTTCCTAGAGTGATCCCCCAAGGGATTCTGGGAAGGCCACAAACAGGAGATGAAAACCACAGCGTGCCACCTTTGCCGCTTCCTTCCTGCTCCACTGAGCTAAAACTAGCATGTCCTTCCTGAACACACTTCCACACACGGAAGGGGGCGTGTGTCTATTTATTATAGCCCTACCCTATCAAGCGCGTAACACTGATGGCAGATCCCAGCAGAAAGTGCCGCCTGAAGCCATTCGAACGAGGAATTCTCTGCCTCCTCCTGTTGCCAGAGGCCTCTAAAAAGTGCCTGGGTGCAGCCTAGGGGAGGCGTTTCCTTTTCCCTGCTGGTTGGCAGAACTGAGGTTTGGGCCACCACGGATGAACGCGTGTGGAGCTCCGAGAATAAATCTGAGCCGAAGAAAATCCCATCTGCGCACCAAGCCCAGGGCTGTGCGCCCCGTCCCACACGGATGGCGCATAAGGCCACCAATGGCCACCAGTCACAGTGGCTATATATTCCCCTCCAGCACTGGGGACAGTATGATTGTTGGTGCCAGTGTATGGGGAACACGGGTGGGAGGATACTGCTGCACTCGTGCCTGCCTGTAGCCTCCCCAGGGGTACCTGGTTCACCACTGTGTGCGCAGAGCACTGGACTCCGTGTAGCTCCAGTCTGATGCAACGCAGCTCTTCTCTTAAGGTAAAAATGCTGGAGAACACAGAATTGGGTTTCGGGCCGTGATGGGTTTTTTTGTTGCTAAAGCAAGGTTTTAACTCTTAAAATGTTACGGGCAAGGATTTCTGATATCTCAGGAGCCTCTCTCACAAGCACAACCTCCAGGATCAAGTACAGGACTTCCACTCTGGCAGGGCTCTTTGGCCCTGCTTCTGCCACCTTCAGTGGGTTTTACCACACATTCCAGGTGTGTGCAGCCTTTTTAAAAACCCAGCCCCTGACTCGGGGTTGCTAAGTGGTGCTTGAAACCTGACACAATAAGCTTATTCGGCAGCAAACAACACACGGTTAACCTAACTATTAACAGTAGGTTAACCGTGGATTACCTTAATTGGGTGTTGAACATTAAAAATGGCCAAAGAATGCATGTAACCAATTGTGGGTTACTTAACTTGTCATTTCCTGCTATTGTGTACAAAGTGGGTCAGGGAAAAGGCATTCCGATCCCTCAACTAAGCATAATGCGGAAAGACATAGGTGGTTGTTTTTACAATTGATCGAGCAGTGACATTACACACACCAAAGAGTCGGAACAACCCAGGACAACTGCCAAGCCCTTTTGATTTAAGCTTCTTGCTTAGTGCTTCTATATAAACAAGGAAGCTCATAAACGTGGAAGTTCTTGGATGTCTTATGATACAGGTGTCATATTTTAAATAGTTAAAAGCTATTCTGACAAAGAATTTTATGTTTTCAAATGCGGCAACAACTTCACACAGAAAGCCTTTCCCAGAAAAACCAATATTTAGCTGCCAAGCGCAAAACACTTTCTTTTTTTACAGTAAGTCTATTCCAGGAGATAATTCCCTGTCGTAGAAGCCCTGCTGTATTACAAAACCCTTCCTGCAGACAAAATAGGAAATGCTCATACATGCGCTTCTTTCATTCACATCAATGAGAGCCGGACAATGGCAAATGTGCCTCATTTTACAGACAGAGAAGAGAAAAACAGGAAACGCATGTGCAGAAGAAGCGGGAGGACCTTCCAGACAGTGCTAGCAGCACTACCGAGAATGTCTGAGCAGTATTCCGGCACATGGGTCACCAATGAAATGGCGCATCACCAAAAGGCAAACGCCGTTTTAGGCTGCCTGGTTTTAGACTGAAGCTTCTTTTTGCCCAGGTTGTGATTGCGGATAGCTACCCCAAATCTATACCAGGTAAAGGAATTGTGTTCTTCCGCATAGGTCAGAAGATCAAGTTAGAAGTAAAAACTGGGACTAGAAGCTGGAACCGGAGGCATGTCAGGTATGAAGCTATAAGCAGGGGAAGATGCCTTATACAGAGAACTTCAGCTATGGGCAGTATAGAAATGAAATGAAATGAAATGAACGGTAGGTAGGTAGGTAGGTAGGGCTTGCTAATAGTGGGTTGCCCTATTGCTAACAGTAGCTGACAATGATGCCTACCTAGGGAACCAGGTGGGGGCTCAGAGCCCCTGATATATTGGAAAGAGCCACCTCCCTGGCATACCACACCTGGCCAATCCGGCAGCCTCAAGGCACCTGCCGATCACAGTTGCCCGTGTTGCGCACCCCACTGCCACTGAGAGCTCTGAGGCCAAAGTGCCCACAGTGGCTTACTGGGAACTGGCTTTGTCTGCTGCAGATGAAGTTTGCAGAATTCAGCGCAGAATTCTTGACAGCAACCACAGTTCAAAAGCTTGAAACGCTGCAAAGCTGTTAAGATGACGAAGAATTCAGAAGACAAACATGGAAGGTACAGGGGACAGGAACCGGCCATGCTTGCCTTTGAGACAAGACGACTACTGGGCGCCAAGATCACGTCGGCCATGCAGGAAACGTGCTGCCAGAATTGCCCACCCCATGCATCACACATGAAGCCATCACCAAGAGCTGCGAAGCTCCAGGAAGACTAATACAGGCAAAATTGAAATGGGGAGTTCTGCAGTCAAGCCTACATCCCTTCTTTGAAGGTTTTCAAGGAAATATGGCAAAGAAAGCATGCTTTAGGTTTTGGCCATCCCACTTTAGGGATGGATGACTCATTACAGCTTTCCCCAACATGGGGGGCTCAAGATGACTTGGACTGCAATTCTCACCATTCCTCTACTGGAAGCCGCAGTCCAGCAAATCCTGAGGCCCCAGGTTGCGACATCTGATCCATGGATTCCCACTCCCACTCCCGTGGTTTCTGCATATTCTTTTCTTGCAGTGATTTATCAGCTCTGTACCAGGCTGCCTCAACCCACTCCAGCCTTGTGCAATCAACATTCCAGGAGTTCGCAGAGATCCACATTCAGCTCATGAGCTCCTTAGAGCAATGCCACTCCTATGCCTCCATACAGCCAAGAAGCCTGTGTTACAAAATCACAAACTATCAGAACAGAAAACGCAAAACGAAATCCATGACACCTCAAAGATGCACAGCTTACGTTGGTTTATCTGGATGAGCTACCAGGCAAACCTGTGGTCTACACCATCACCATCTTCCTCCTCCTCTGTTCATTTAAATTCATTTCTATACCTCCCAATACCAGAAGCTCTCTAGGTGGTTTTACAACAGTTCATAAAACAATACAATAGCCAATCCAGCACCGTTCTTTGTGCTAATTGCTAATCAAAATGAGAACAGCGAGACAAAACTACGTTTCAGATTAAAACTCAGCTAAATGACCAATGGAACAGTTCCTTCAACTAGGTAATCCAATATGTAAGTAATGGACATATTGCAAATTGGTACAAGACAAAGACTCCCGCAGTCCCTAATCAACTGTCCCATGCATATTCTCCAAAAGACAGCTGCCGCGCTTGTGATAAAATATCTCTAATTATGGATTTAAGAAATGGCTCATCAATCTACAGACTCTAATTTGGAAGAGCTTCTGTTCGAGGTGGGCATCATCCTATTTGCAAAATGCAAATGAATTATACTGCCACTCACTCAACTGCTAGTTTCTAAGCCTGAACTTAACAGGAAAAAATGCACCATCGGTTTGCTAGAAGACAGGCCTTGGCGAACTAAAAAACAGTGAGGCAACCGTGCGTACACAGGAACAGTTGGTCGTTTGCCTAAAGGTTTCTAGTCACCAAACATTCTAAAAATGGGCACGTTGGAACTTTCAGGGCAAGGATTTAATTCCCCCTCTGAGAAGCATTTGGGGGCTGGATTCCAGTGGTGGATGGCTATCTGGAAAAGCCCAGAAGAGTCAGAATAGGATCTGAGGCCAAAGCTTCCCCAGTCCTGCTCTAGACTATTCTCCAGGGGGCTGTCAGGGAACTCGGCCTCTAGTTACTGAGCCTTGCAAAGCTTGCTGTCATTTGAGTATAAGCACCCACATTCTCACACCTTCTGAGAAAGAGGCAACAGTCTGGTCTAATTTATAAGATCAGACCGCAGGTCAAACTTGATTTAGCAGTGCTAGATGTTCATGCGCACACGCTCCTTGTGAATTACTGGACTGAAAACACCCTTACAAAAATCAAGTTTTCAAAGCACACCAGCAAGTAACTGCTCCGAAAGAAACCTGCTCGCCAAAACAACGATGGTTACAGGGCTGCAGAAATGTTACCTTCTTCACCTGCATACCTCCCTGGCTGGAAACCCATCGCTCACCTTTGGACAGAGAATTTCTGTCTGCTGGATCATGATGAGGGCAGAGGCAATCAGAGCGCCTTGACGCACGTAGTTCACAGGATCATTTGTCATGGGCTCCAGCAAATTAATTGCTTCCTGGGGGGTTGGGGAGGAGAAAAGAACACACAGAATATTAACCTTATTACTTTTCAAACACCAGGCTTTTGTCAGGGTTATCAGATTAGGATCTTCCAGCAGGCAACAGAATACAGTGTGGCTTATTGTATTGGTGGACTCTGCCCACCACACGGACAATAGGGCAAGGGGCAGGAGAGCACAATCTGTTTTAAGGCACCTGCTCAATTCACTCCCAAAAGTTCAGGGACGTGTGATATTTGCCCCCTTGTTTAAGGAAATCTGTACTTCTTGGAAGATGAGGTGTGTAAAGTATTAAGTTGACAACTTGTTTAGTGTTATAAAGGCTGCTTACTTTAGACATCACCCTTTTAAAAAGTACCATCAATTTCAAGACTGTGCATGGGGAGGTGTAGGGTTACTGGAAGGCCTTTCCCGCCTCTGACAAGCTATGCCAGCCTGGGTCTGGATGACACAACAAGCTGAACCTGGGCAGTGACGATGGAAATTGTGCTCTGCAAAATGAGGCGCAGAGGCTCATGGCGGGGGGGGGGGGGGGAGAGGTAGCAAACACCTCAAATGCCATGCAAAGGCCCAGGGTGGGAGCTTTACCTTCTCACACTCTTACATCAGTGTGAAGATATTCCCAAGGGCTGAAAGGAACAGGGGGTTTATGCCTGAAAAATTCAAAATTCAAATTCAAATGCTCCCCTGTCCCTTCAAGTACTGGCCCTGATTTATTTATTTATATTTATATTTATATTTATATTTATTTAGGAAGCTTCTATGCTGCTCCATTTGCCAAAGCCTCAGGGTGGCTCACAACAATAAATAAGTAATCACAATATAAAAACAATATAATTTGCGTCAACCTAGATGACACACATGACGATGTCAAAACCTCATGTTAACTACAAGGCAGGCAGATGTCAAGTGTAGCTCTTGGGGTTCGCTTTTATTACCAGTTTCACTGCATGGTCTCTCCAAAACCTTCAGTCTAATTATGCGAAGTTGGTTTTTACAAGGCCAAGTTGTATTTTTGTGCATTTATTGGTCGAAGCCTGATCTGCAGCACCACATGAGCTCACAACTATTTATAGAGGATGCATGATGGAAGTGCCTCTTCAGTTTAACTAAAAGCTTAACTTCATTTCCAATCTCCTAAATTCTAATATATTAACTTAGCCATTAAAATATGTTGATGCAAGCCCCAGAAGACACATGGGTATAAACAGATGCTCACGACCCTTTGTTTTAGAAATAAACAATGAAGTACAGAGCTGCAGCCAGGCAGGTTCCATTACCCTGCCTGCACAAATTATGGAGAAATAAAACAGACTGAGACAGTATATACCAAACAGTTGCCCATTTTTGTCCAGTACAAGCAGAAGTTGGCCATAAGCAGAGAGGAAAGGCCAAAGGTGTTCTGCCCTTCCTCAGTCGCTAGCCTTGCCTGTGGGCCCTTGCTCCTGTCCTTGCCACAGCTTCTGAAACTGATTCTGCGATAGGGAGAGAGGCTGTAGAGTCAGGTCAAGCCAGGGAAAGTCAGATGTCTCGAAACTCACTCGCTGGTGATCCAGGTGGGGGTGAGATGTTGATACAGCCTCTCTCCTACAGCTGAGACACTAGACTTTGAGGGACCCTGCTGCTCGGCCAGAGACATCCTCCGTGGCAGCAGGCAGAGGTCTTTTCAGGAAAAGGTGTTTTGGAGGGTGTTTTTGGAGAGCCGTCAGCTAAAGGGAGCAGGCCGGAGGGGTGCAACGGTGGCCCAAGAGCCAGGCTTCCCTGACAAGCCTGAACGCCCGATGATCTGAAAAGCCGGAGCAACCTGAAGTAAACTGTGGGGGTGGTATCACGGAAAGCTTTCTGCTTTGGAGCCATCAACCTCCTGGAACATGTTCTGTATGCTGAATCCAGGGATTCTTGGTTTCTTGTTGTGATATTGATGAGCTGATTATTGCCTGGCAACTTTGGTGCGAGCTGTTCGCTTAGGATCCTTATGCAGACTCCAGAGGGTTGTAGCTAATAGCTGGAATTACTGCAGTGAAAGGTTTTATTTGAAGCTTTTGCCTCAGCTCCAGGAAGTCAGGTATCAACAACTTCCATTCTTGGAGATGTATGATCTGCATGCCTCAGCTACATCTCTCTTGGACTACTGGAATGCATTCGGTATGGGGCTGCCTTTTAAATTTGTTCAGCATGCAAAGAGAGCATGCAAAGAGAGTTCCAGCTGCCGGGCTCTGTAAAAATGAAATAATTTCTATAATAGCCTTCCACTTGGAAGGTAGACCAACTTCTCCCATACGAGGTTGCCCAGTTCTTAAGACCTTTTGGAGAAGCCCTTGTTTCAAGACTGCTACCTTCAGAGACCTTTGTGGACGTGACCAAGGGAGAGCCTTTTCCGTGGCTGATCTCAAACTGTGGGATTCTCTCTGGGGGAAGCTCGCTTGCTCCCCACTGCCAGCTGGCAAAGAACGCTTTCCTGAAGGAGGTCTTCAGCTTGCAGTTCAGCTTGTGGGGCTGGCTACAGCTTTTTCGTGTTTAATTTTGTAACAATTATGTTCTTACTGCATTCTAATGTATTGTGGTTTTAATCAATTATGCCTGCAAGCTGCTTTAAGTGCCATTTCTGGAAGAAAGGGGTATGTGGGGTGTGTGTGAAAAATAAATAAATAAATAGCCTAGCCTTTCCTGAATTTGTGCCCAGCAAATGTCATGGATTACTGCTCCTATCAACCCCAGCCAACATGGCCACTGATTACACTCACAATGGGAGTTGTAGTTAAACACATCTGGGAAGTGCCAATTTGGGAGAGGCTCTCATAGACTCTCAGGCACATAACCCCCTACATAGGGGTCAGCTACACTGTCACAGGGAGGAAAGGAGGGTCTGGAATTTCACCAGTCTAAGAGACAGTTTATTTAATTAATAAACCTGCATTTTCACATCCCAAGGTGAATAAAAGAGACATCTAGATTAAAAGCAAAATCTTACTTATGATGTAATAATAAACACTCTCTCTCTCTCTCTCTCTCTCTGTGTGTGTGTGTGTGTGTGTGTGTGTGTG